TTGGAACTGAGAGAAATGTTCAAGGGGCTACGGCTTAATTGTGAGGAATGAAACATGAGGCTTCTTGGCTGCTAAGTGTGGAAGCTTCCCTGAGGTTTATTCCCCCCCTCTTTCAATCTGAAGCTATGGCGGTGAGAATTGGCTTGATCTGGGCGTTCAAAAGGGGTTTATCCAATATCCTTTGTGAGTCAGATTCACTTCAGATTGTCGAAGCTTTGCGGTAGCCTTCCTTTGACCTGTCACCTCTTGGACAACTAATCGAAGACATCAAGTCGCTGGCCCGGTAGTCACTGAAGTTCCTATCACCCACATTCGTCGTTAAACCAATGGCGTGACACATAGACTAGCTCGTCTCGGCCTCTCAATCAATTAGTGTGTTGAATGGGTGGAGCATCCCCTTAGTATTATCATTGATATATTAGTTGCAGACTGCTCCCCTTCTGTGTAACCCTTTGATGTACTGTTTCCATTGAGATGAATGAAATACACTATTGTTTCCTTCAACAAAAAATAAAAAAAAAAAATAAAAAAAGAAAGTGTGCATATACTTTCAGTGCAGCAGCTGTTGGCCTTGCCCAGATACATTGGATAATATACAAACATCTGCTTCACAGAAACTTCTAAACATCATGATTTCTTAGTCCAATGATATATGTGTTTGAAACTCTAAATTATCAAAGTTCTTGTCTTCTTACCAAAAAAATCTGAGACATGCAGAATAAAATCTTAATTGCTTTTTCCAATATAATATTCCTGGTTCATGTTTTCTCCAATCGACACAAGTAAATACCCATTACATTTTAGCCAAATTGGATAAATGATCTATGTGGTCATAAGGTATTCGGAAGATAATCCATGTGCTAAAAAAACTCGGATTTAAACCCTTGTGGTGTACTCTGTTAGTAAATTTAGTCCAAAAGTGATTTTTCCGTTAATACATGGGTAAAATTGTACTTTGACATATGCACCTTCTTCTTCCTCGTCTTAATATAATCGAAGCTACATTTTTCGGGTCTACTCTCCGCCTAGGTAACGATGGCATTTGCAGAGTCTGAGACCGAACCCATGATTAAGAAAACATTTTTCATAATTTATCATACATATAAAGTTAATGAAATAACAAATATTAACATACACAAATGGCAGTGATCATACAAATTACTTATTCATCTAAAAAATTATCAAATGGGCAATCGAACGTAAGAAAGGATTAACTTACGACAGCCTCGGCATCTTTTGAGGTAAGAACAACAAGGACAGCTCCAGGTATCACCTTCCTCTTGTCAGTTCTCAACTAATTAGCCCAAAGCCTGTTATTGAAACTCCCTCTAACCCTCTGCCCCCAAAACCACCATTGCAGAAACCACTTGGTCTTCTCAAATGGGTGTTTTTCAAAGCCACACAGCAAGAATCCATTCATGTTGCCTGCAACTCTAATAGAATTCTAACCGATCAAAAATTGAAAACTCAGATAGTAGTTAAACCCCAATCCTAGTAAAAATGTCAAAGTACAATTTTACCCATGTATTAACATATAGTTAATAGAAAAATTATTTTTGGACAAAGTTTGCTAACGGAATACACCACAGGGGTTTAAATCCAAGTTTTTTTAGCACATGGACTATTTTCCGAATACTTTATGGACCACAAGGATCATTTATCCGATTTGGCCTTATATCTTCACACGTTTTCATCTTTGACCTAATTTGTTCATATGCTTATATACAGAGATATACATATATACGATTGCCTATATGTACATATATACACAGTACAACACCTCTCGAGCGCTAATCAATAAATAAATTGATAAGACATTAATCACTCGTTTGAATCCACATCATAATATTTTTCATAATCTGAACCAATTATTCTTTAAGTATCATTTAAATATTATTTCTACAAAAACTCATTTAAATAGCGAAAACGTGAGGCCACTACCTCCATCCGTGTCTGTGTGATGAGGGGGACAGAGATAACTAATAGATATATCATATATGGGCAAAAGTCAAGTTCTAGCTAGCAAGCTCTCTAGAAAAGCAAGGCTTTGATTCTTTGAGAAACGGCTGAGTGTAAAGGTCAAGACCTTAAGAAAGAAATGCAGATCAGAGTAGAGAGAGGAGGAAAATGGCGTAAATATTCGTAGGGTAAAATGTCGAACGAGTGATCGAAATACTGGAATAGAGAGAGAATGATACAGGCATATCTTGAATTGGAGAGATATGCATGCTAGGGTATCTTTTTGTCGGTTGAATCAATATGTATTCTGCATGTTTAGGTCAAACAACAAGCAACTGGCTATTAATGGTAATGTTGATATTATTGGATCGAGATTGAAGTTTACCCACTACTTTTTGCATACAAGTCAACCCTTGATTCAATGCGCTTTTGTAAATGTCAACCCAGCGCCCACCCGACGAAGATATCTTCTAGATGCGCACCTTTATTAGATGAATCAAATTCATTGACATCTTATGAAGGAAATAGATTTTCTGGTATACTTCAGAGCATTCTATAGTTTTAGTTTAGAGGTTTTAATCGTTAAATTTGGTCAAAGATATAATGATTTAGATCTAAAGATTAAAGTAGTGTCAAAAAATAATAATGTTTATGCACCTTAGTGCGGGTTTGTTCCCCACACATTTCCCTCTCCTTTAACCTTTAACAATTTAACCCACAAGCGCTATGTTTCTAAAAAATAAAAAAAGACTGAAAGTTCTAAAATATAACATGAATTTTTTTTGACATTGAACATTAAAAAACCTAAGCAAATGACGCTTTATCATAGTGGCAGAAATCAATTATGCTTATGCACCATGGTGCAAGTTCAATCTCCATTGATTTCCATCCCCCAAAACAACTAACAATTAAACTCACTAACACCACCATTTGTAAAAAATGGAGAAACATTCAAGAACCTAAAATACGCACATTTATATGTGTATCCTTTTTGGTTATAATGGAAAAGAATCCAATTCTTGACATGATTGATCCGAAAGCTTATACTTGATAGAATTTGTCATTCAGCTTGTTATGTGACCTAGCATTTCGTACATGAAATATGAAAACGTTGAAATGGAATAAATGTAAAAGGTGGTTGACTAAATTTTGTAGATAGATCCCACTTGAATAAGTTCGATCTTTGGTTTGATTTTAATTTAGTGATGTTGGCATTGGATGAGGATGGCATATATATATATATTAGGCTGCCTTCATATGCATATGTATAGCTTATTCAAAGTGCTGCCGATAGCAAGTAGCCAACCTCAACAAACATTTCTAGAATCTCAAAGATTTTCTTGTAAATGCCAACTTTCTCCTATTTTGGAATGGTTATCTCCAACGCGCACCCAAGTCATAAAACAGTTGTATCGGAATAGCGAAGAAACCAAACATGGAAAAAACAATATGTCGTTTTCACTAATTAACACCAAAATAGTTGACTAATTATTAACATTCTAATTGTTGCCCACTATTAAGGTATATATAAAGAAATACTAGAAGTGAAGTGGTGGAAGGGCTTGATGACCAAGGTTTTTCTCTTCAATCTACTGTTTTTCGAGTTCAAATTGTCAAATTTAAAATTTGGAGGTCAACATAAGACTAGTACAATCAACCCTTGGTGGGTTCGAGATATAAAACTAGATTATGGAAGACGGAATTTAAGCGGTTCACCCTTAAAAATGGATTACGTCCATTGTAGTATATTTGATGTGGATTATAATAGTTCTCAATACAATGTAATGCATTCTACTCTTCTGAATTTGATCTCCTTTAAAAGGGTACTCGACCCTTTTATATAAGTCCTTAGTAAGCTCTAAAAGTCATGGGCCTTTAGTTCTCTCATTGTCCTACCAATAAATGGGTTGAATATGTAGGCGCGGTTTATAAGCTACTTTTCCATTGTTCGTTCGACATGGGGGAGGAAGTGACATTTAGACAGGTCTACTTGCATGATTTCCCGGGTCGACGCGTCTCAAACGCAACGCTCGTCCATGAGTGGTTGGAAAGTACTTTACCCAAGCGCTAGGCTTGCCACCATTTATGTCACTTCAAAGACTTCTTTTCTAGTTGATGGCCAACGCGTGGCCAGGAGTTGACGTCTGAACAGACTTGTCCTTAAAGCTCATTGATAGAAATTTGTCAGGTCTGTCATTGGCCTAAGCAGTCAGAAAAAGCTTTAGGTTCTGCGCTTGTCTTTTCTTCTTCATAGACGACCTAGGACTAGAAGCGGTGGTCTTTTGTTGTTAGGATAGCGCTTTTGTTTGCCAGATTTCTTGGGCTGGCTTGTAGCTCGATCTTAGTCTTCTTATCTTTTTGTGGGCTAACTCAAATCTCATCCATTAAGTCTAAACAACTATACATTATTTTAATGAATCTAAAAGGATTATGCGTTAACATAAACTTTCTCCCTCGCTTGACATAGAATACTACTTGTAATAAAAAAATGAAATACTACGATATTAAATGTCCTGAATAAAATAAAACTACAAGTCTCTGTCTCCCCCTGCTGCTCATCCATTTTAAACAAACAAACTTTAAGAACCAAAGCAGAATTTGCGTTGAAGATTTGCAATTCCAAACAATATTTGCAAGTTGCAAACGGTCAAATATGGAAGCACTTATTTTGTAAGTATTTATTTGCTTTCAGTAGTAATCCACATGTTGCTTTTTGTAAACCATCCTTAGCTACGGATCAGGATCCTCTGAGCTAAGGATGAGGATCCTCCTGATCAAGGAGTGTGGGTCGTTGGAGAACAATCCAACGGTTACAAATAAGAAGTCATTTTAAAGTTATAATAATTATAATCGTTAGATTTTTATCTAATGGCCCACACTCATTGATCAGAAGGATCCTCATCCTTAGCTCAGGTGAGGATCCTGATCCCTTAGCTACCACTACCTCTCTTAACAATTCATTAAAAAATTGTTAATTCTTGGAACATTGTTATATATGAGCTGCTGCTGAAGAATATTGTTAGATATGAGCTGCTGCTGCCCTTTTGTTTCCCTCCCATGGCTGCTTTTGTTCTGTAGTCATCACTCTCTCTCTCCCTCTCCCTCTCTCTCTCTGATATTCATTTCCACTATGGAAACGTTTACCAAATCAGTGACTCGTCTGAGCTCAGCTCAGCTTCTTCTAATAACACTCACTGTATTACTCTACGTCACATCGCCACCTTACGTCGCCGCCGCCCAAGCGGAGCTTCCCAGAGGCTTCAAAGCCGCTCCGGACCCTTCAATCCAAACCTTCCAACCTCTGCTCACCGACCCAACCGGCAACTTCTCACTGGGTTTCCTCCGAGTCAACAAAACCCAACTAGCTCTGGCTCTCCTCCACGTGCCTTCCTCCGACCCGTTTTGGCTCGCCAACCCGACCCAACTCGCCCGCTGGTCCGACCGCACCACCCTCCTCTTCAACGGCAGCCTCGTCCTCTTAGATTCCCAGTCGAGAGTATTCTGGTCAACTCACACCGAAACCGGCGATCGGGTTGCAATCCTCGACACCTCCAACGTCCAAATCCAAACAACTCAGGACAACGTTCTATGGCAGAGTTTTGACGTTCCCACAAATACCCTCGTCGAGAACCAGAATTTCACATCGACCATGAAGCTTGTCTCATCCAACGGCCTATATTCGATGCAATTGGGCAACGATTTCATGGGTCTGTACGCGAAGTTCAAACCAGGTTCAAACGCAGACCAAATGTACTGGAAACACAAAGCCATGGAAGTCAAGGCCCAAGTCGTCGAAGGAAAAGGACCCATTTACGCCCGAGTAGAGCCGGACGGGTTCATTGGAATGTACCAAACCGGGAACCCAGCTCCGGTCGACATCCAACCGTTCATGACCTATCCGAGGCTAATCAACGGCCTCCGTAAAGTCCGTTTGGAACCGGACGGAAACCTCAAGGCGTATTACTGGGGCGGTTCGAACTGGGCTTTGGATTTCCAGGCGATTGACACCACGTGCGAGCTTCCCAGTCCATGCGGTTCGTTCGGTTTGTGCGAGGCCGGGAACAGTTCGTGTTCGTGTTTGGATAACCAGACGGAGTTCCGGTCCGGCGAGTGTTTTCCGGTTCAGAGCGGCGACTTCTGCGGTTCCGGATGGGGGGAAATTAATAGCTTCTGGGTTTTAAGGAGGAGCGGCGTGGAGCTGCCGTACAAGGAGTTGATGCGGTATAAAACGATGTCGTCTTATGGGGAATGCGAACGAACCTGTGAAAGCAACTGTAGCTGTTGGGGCGCGGTGTACAACAACGGGTCCGGGTTTTGTTACTTGATTGATTACCCGATCCAGAGTTTGGTGGGCGTTGGGGATGAGAGTAAGATGGGTTATTTTAAGGTGCGGGAGGGTGCAGGAAGGAAGAAAATAAATGTGGGTGTGGGAGTTGGGATTGGGGTGGTTTGTGTGGCACTTTTGATATTTATTGGGGTGGTGGGGGTTTGGAGGTTTAGGGTTTGGAGGAGGAAGAGAGGAGGAGCAGGGAAGAGGTTCATGGGTCAAGATGGCGGTGTTTCCCCCGGCCCGTATAAGGATCTCGGGTCCGCAAGCTTTAAGTCCATTGAGATTGTCGGGCAAAATAGTTAAGGTTTGTTTGGGTCTGTCTCTTAGAGCGATTATTTGACAATTAAAAGTATGTCTGACTAAAAAATGTTCGTAACTTCAACTGAGGAACAAAAGTAGTACATTTCCAAACGAGCTATTAGGCAATGACGTACGGAATGACATGTTTTTGTGTGGGGCCTTTGGAGCATGGGAGTTTTGACCGACAGTGATGTTGATGGCCAACTCTTTCTGTGTTTGCGGTGGTGGGGTTCCAAGCCCTAATCTTTGTATTTAAATTTGTATGATATATGATCGGTGGACCCTGCCAAATCTCATTGTTAATGTATTAGTATTTCATAGTGACATTGTATAGAGCTTAGTGCGCCTTCAACGACTTTGTATCTCTGCAAGTTGTACAATCATTTTATATATGGATAATATATGAGCATGATCATACATTAACATTGAGTAATGGTAGAATATAGAAGATATTGATAGTAGTTATATCGACAGATAATTCAATGTCGTTATTCTTAAGTTCTGATAAAAGTATGAAGATATTGATAGTAGTTATATTGACAAGTAATTCAATAAAATTAACTGTCGATAGAAAATATAATTTTTTTTTCTTCGAAAAGATGGACAATTATAATCTAATTGCAATGTTTACATCTACGGTAAGAATATTAAAGAAAAATTTCGGGCCAATCTCGTTCCAAATGAATGAACCACCATGCAAGGTAACAAACGAGGCAACTACGTGGGCAGCAACATTGCCAATTTGCCACCCCGCGCACAAACCCAAACTTTACTTCTCCTATTTGCGTAGCCAACGATTCAGTATCAAAGAGAAAACCTTTCATAGTAGCATCGACATCAATCTCCCAATTGATCATTCGGATTAGCGACTAGGCATCCGATTCGATCTCCACCTTCTTGTATTCGCCATCTCTGCAGTAAAATAAATATAATTAGAAACCTATAAGTTTTGAATGAAACTTTGAAATATGAGATATTACATGCATTTTTGTCCTTGTTCCTGCGCACATTGTGGAAATAAGAGAATATTTTTGTTCACCACCCTCACATGGTAGTGATGTTCATTAGCCTATTTATTACCGTTATATGAGTTTAAATTTTGAAATTTGTATAGTTGATGGACACAAATCTCAAGTTTAAACTCATTATGTGGTAATAAATAGGGTGGTGAGCAAAAAAAAGTTTTATTTTCATGGAAATGAGTATGCAATTTGTGTTTGAGAAATGATAAGAAAACTCTCTTAAAGTGCTATTCGCCACCTCATATTTTTTGTACAATATTTGATAATGTTGGTACGTGGATTGTGTCAAAAGGATGAAGTGGCAGAGAGTCTAAGAAGGGTCTCATTTTTTAGAGTCGATGGAAAGTCTGACTTTTGCGAGGATCTCTTGAGCATTTTTCTTTGTATTTTCATATTTAATAAGTGAGTATAAGACTACGATTATAATCCTTTATATTCGAAAGAAAAATGTTAAGGAGACTCTCTTAAAGTGAGACTCTCTATGAACTCTTTGTCACTTCATATTTTTGACACAAGATTCTATGATGCTGCCACAAAAATTTTGCTGAAAACATGAGGTGATGAAGAGTTTTAAAAAAAAATTCAGAAAATTTTAATATCTGAGGTTCTAGAACTTAATGTAAAAATATGGATTTCAGAAGTTTTTAATATTTGAGGTTCTAACTTATTGTAAAACTATGGACATCAGAAGTTTGTAATAATTGAGGTTCTAGAACTTATTGTAAAAATGTGGATTTCTTTGGCACTATGCCTCCAAATGACGCAATGGATGACATTTTATAGATTGTGATCCAACATTAAAAATCCATATATTTGGAAGCAATTAGTTAGGTAGCATAAACATATCTTAATTGCAAATTCCAGAGGAAGTCCTTTATGTAGGTAAATTATTTAAACTCTCAAGTGTCAACCCCACACGAAGTCCTTTTTTGGAAACATCCTTGTGAAACTAATATACTCGACTTGAGAAAAGTTTGTGTTGGATCCATTATTTATATATTATGATCCAACATTATGATGAATTTTCTCATTTTATGAGAGTTTCATAATAAAATACTTCGGTAGAATTAAAAATAAAATTGCTCAATATAAATCATATTTAATTTTGTTAATTTTTAAATGCGTACACATATAAAATAATTTTAATTTTTAACTCATATTCGTTTTCCTTGACACCAACTAGGCCTTGGTTTTCTACATGTCGGAAAGTGTCTCTTTTATTTGTTTAATGCACATGAAGTACCTATAAACAAATCAAATTCTAGTGTATATAATTTATCTCATTACACATTGACTATCACATACGCACATGTCCATGTTACTATTCTTAATTATGTGATGATTAACTAAACATGGTTGGTTTTGAATTTAACTTGAATCTTCTCACTGTACATTAAATGGCTTGTATGGGAAGTGTTTCTTTCTTCTTCTACTTGGCTGTTGGGGTGGAATCCTCCCTACTAACTTTAGGTTTTAAGACGCGTTGAATTTGAGCTCAACAAGAAGTGATGATGAATCTCTCATTTATTTGATTTATCATCTATACAACCAATTACTTTAATGTTATGTTTAGTTTGACTCGACTGTTTGAAAGTACTTTTGAATTATAGGAGGTACTTGCATAAAACTTTTGATGTTCTTCGACTAGAAGTGCTTTTGAACAAATGTTTCTACAAAAAGTATTCCCCTAAAATGGATACGGTAAGGTTCTCATCTTATTTCATATCAAAGTTCAGCCTTCATTTGTTGTGAAGTTGTAATGTGGTTAGGCCCAACTAATCTATTACATGACAAGATGGGCAATTACTTCTCTCAAAAAGGTCATACTGATCTGAGGCAGCGCAGTGTCCACCTTAATACAGAAAAGGCCCAATTAGAGACGGTTGATGTCATATTGTCTTGAAGTTGGACCATAACAAGAACCATCTTAATTATCTAATCTAGGGTTAGCTTATTCTATAATCCATGAGATCCAAGTTTTGCTTAATTGGCTCTGGTTGAGACCCAAATTCAAGGAGGTGCTGTGATGTTCCCATCACTTATGAGACTTAATTCCAGATAGAATCCTTCGACAAATTAGAGACTGAGTGCAAAATATAATAGTTAGTGTTTATACGTACTCTTCGTCAATAGTTTCTAGGTTCATCAATCAAAGGAAAAAGGAACTGATGGGAGTGCTTTTGAAAAGTGAAGTAGCAGTGATGCTACATATTTTGGAACAGAGGTGGTTCATGATGAGTCCCATCGGGTGGAGAATGCTACAAGGATGTTCTCATCACCATGTCTTCTTCAAAAATTTCAAATGGTAAGTCAAACGGTTGTGTGCTTGCTTCTGAAAAGGACTATACTTCAAAATCCTACTTGTTACTACTCACTAAATGGAGACAGACAGCTTTGCAATTGCATGAACATTTTAGATGTAATGCTAGAGAGATTAAATTTTGTAAACTAAATGATATGAAAGTTAATGATTGAATTATTACTTAAATATTGATTAACGTGCTTATTTCTTATTGGTGATGCATCATTTAGTTGTAAATTTAATTTATAAATTTAATCTACCTAGCATTACTTGTTATTTTGTAAACGAAGGAAAGCAGGTAGTCATCTCCTACAATATATTATTGATTAATATCAATGGAATCTAATTATTAAACTGAATGTATATATGCGCGCGCGCACGAGATGGCAAAAACCAAAAGAATTTGCGCCTAGCTACTACCTGATATACAAGAGAAATTAGGGTTTCTCATCTTGCAATTGCATCTTATTCCGCTTAATTCTGTTGCCCAAAACTGTATGTTTCTTCTGTCATACAAAACATTTGGAACTGTACTTCGTACATATACTTCGATGTGACATTGACATGCAAAAACATACTGCATTTGCAGCACCTTGCTGCAGAAGTATATATGATGAATGTTGCTGTCATGGAATTGGAATATATTCCTACTCCATAGTCTAGATTGTTGACTTTGTATTTTAGGTAGGATCCTTGATTGATATCAATCCCATGTAATCACACGTAATCCTGTGTAATTAGTTTTTCCTTTCTATTTACGTTAGGGTTGTATACATATAAATGTCTCTCGTTGAGAATATTTTTCAAGCATTCTCTTTTTGGCACCAGAGCCAGGTTTAGAAAAAAAATTAGAAAAATCGCTTTGCTGTGTGCATAACCCAGCACTAGAATTACTAGCCGTGCCGTTAGTTGTGCAGCGCGTTGTCCGACCGCTAATCGCACCACAAATTGTGTTGCGCGTCGTCCGACCAGCAAGCGACCCCATAGTTGCTGGACTGAACCTATTCCATTATGTTCGTCTCGTTTTGTTCGCTCCATTCCGTTTCTTGCGAACCCCGATCTCCATTCACTCTGGCTGCCTGACTTGCAGGCTGAATACCAAATTACATGATCTTATAGCAGACCAGGATCTCGAATCACCTCGACTGCTAACCTACCACTGCAAACGGCCACACCTGATCAAACCATACCCGCATCTCTGAGTCGTCCGCATCACGCCGGAGAGCCAGATATGCGAACTCGTCTCAGCTCACCTGTAACATCCCATATTGACTAACGGAAAGGGGGTGACGTGCCTTATATGTACATGCTCCCTTCCCTATAGCACGAGGCCTTTTGGGAATTCATTGGCTTCGGATTCCATCGGAACTCCGAAGTTAAGCAAGTTCGGACGAGAGCAATCCTATGCTGGGTGGCCGACTGGGAAGTTCTCGTCGGAGTTCCCAGAAATAAAACCGTGAGGTAATGGTAAGTCTAGAATGGACAATATCGTGCTACGGTGGAGTCGAGTTTAGGATGTGATATCACCCCTGCAATTAGCAATCTAGACCAGCCCCTGTTGCTGCTTCAAAGTTACTATCTCTTTTTTAATTGTGTTTTGTTTTATAAAAATGAAAAAAAAAAAGAAAAAAAAAAGAAGAAAAAGGGGAAAAAAGAAAAAAAGGAAAAAAAAAACAATCAGCTTTGTTTTTCACTTGGCCTTTTTGTTTTGTCGTTGGGCTACTTTGTTAGGCCTATACTGATTATTTGCTTAGCTCAGTTTGCTTGGAGTTTAGGCTTCATCACTCACGGACTCACGTTATGGCCTCGATTGTCGGAGCTAAGGTCGATTATGAACTTATGGCCGAGAAATTGTCTGCTTTGCTTACTGATACGGGTAACGATGGTAAAGATTTACAGGTTTTTGCATCTGCTACGAATAATGCATGGATAATTGATTTTGGTGCTACTGAACATATGACTTGTGATTCTAGACAAATACAGACCTTAAAACCGTCCACCAAAACTTTTGTAAATGTTGCCAATAGTAATGCTGCCCTTATTATTGGGGAAGGCACTGTCTCCCTTTCTGATACCCTTAATCTTAATACTATACT